AAAAGGGGGGGGGGGGGTGGCCTGAGCAATACCCACTCCAGTTCCTCCACCAAAAAGTTCCTTTATCCCTTTTGCTTTAACTAAATGCGGGAAAACAGGCTCAGGGATAGGAATGCTGTTCCCAAAAAAGCTGATGGATAAAGCCTGGAGAATCCCAAATAGGATCCAGCACCCACCAGAGCAAGGTGAGCACCCCTAAAGGGCTCATCCTGCAGTTAAGGGAGGTTTGCAGAGGGTTTTAGAGCAGCACAGAGGATGTAAGTGGTCAGGGAACAGTTCCAGCACCCAGACATGCCGAGTTGAGAAAAACAACCCACAACAATCTGTTTGGGTTTGGTTTTTTTTTTGCAGTGTTAGCCCATCCCAGCTCCTCTCCACAGTTTCACTTCTTCATGGAACTGCAGCAACTACAGAGACCCAAGCACATCTAGGGCAGAACTCTGCTCGAGGCTGCCAACTCTGCAGCTGAAGAATTCCTGGTTCCCACCCCTAAAAAATAACTAAACTCCACAAAAATCACTGCTGATCTGAGGGGAGCGGGGAGGAAGTAGAAGAAAAACTTCACAGACGGTACCCAACATGATTTATTTATTTTTTACTCCACATGTTTTGACAGGGAAAAATTACAGCTACTGGCAAAGCACAGGGGTTGGTTTTCAACAGGCTGCCAAAAAAATAAATATACTAAATAAACTGAACCCACCATGGGCTCATCACCTCACCAAAAAGGAGGGGATCAGCAGAATCTCTGTGCTAGCTACATCCTACTGAATGTTGAGGGCCTGGCACATGCAGGAGGGACAGTTTGAGCCCCCATGTCCCTCCTGCCCAGCCCTGTAGGGGCTCCCTGTCCTCGTCCCCGCGATGGGCCAATTCCTGGGTTGTGCCCAACCCCCTAGGTGCCAGTGCCACACTGGAGCTGATCTCACAGTGGACCCGTTGCCCCTGGGCAAGTGACCCCCAGTCCAGAGCCAGTCCCATCCTGGTGCTGGTCCCTGGGCAAGTGACCCCTGGCCCAAGGACAGTCCCCAGGAGAGTGACCCCTGGCCCAGGGCAGGTCCCCATCCCCGTGACAGTCCCTGAGCAAGTCGCCCCCAGTTCAGGACCGGTCCCTGGGCAAGTGACCTCTGCACCAGCAGTGGTCCTCAGCCTGGTGCTAGTCCCCTGGTTCAAGGCCAGTCCCTATCCCGGTGACAGTCCCCAGGCAAAAGACCCCCGGTCCAGTGCTGATCCCCAGGTAAGTGGCCCCCAGTCCCCAGCCCGGTGCCAGACCCCGGACCAATGCCAGACCCTGCTCCAGCATCGGTCCCCACTCCCGTGTCAGTCTCCGGACGAGTGACCCCCGGGCCCAGCATCGGTCCCCTGCCCGGTGTTGCTCCCGTGGTCCCAGGGCCGGTCCCCTGGGGCTGTGCCCTATCCCGGCGCCGGTTCCCGGGCGAGTGGCCCCCGATCTAGGGCCAGTCCCTATCCCGGTCGCCCCCCGTCCGGCTCCTCCCCACTCCCCCCTTGTGCCCTTGTCCCCGCTCACCGGCTGTCTCGGGGCACGGCTCGGAGCAGGCGGACACC